GGAGTGCATAGCTCACTACAGTCTTGAACTCCTGGGCTTAAGAAATCAACCCATGTCAGCCTCCTGAGTAGCTGGGACTATAGGTGTGTGCCACCAAGGCTGGCTAACTAAAAAAAAAAAAAATTTGGTAGAGTGTGGGGATCTCACTATGTGACCCAGGTTGGTCTTGAACTCCTGGGATTAAGTGATCTTCCTGCCTTGACCTCCTAAAGTGCTAGGATGATAGGAGTGAGCCACTTTGCCCAGCCTCATCTCTAATTCTAAATCAAATTTTCTAAAGGGGTAAGAAGCAAGGTCTTATATTTCTGCATAGGGACTGCAAAATGAAATCTTTTCCTCCTGTCAAAGCTGTCATGGGTTGAAATGTGTCCCATGCACAATACATTTGTTGAAATTCTAACTCTCGGTACCTAAAGTACCGAGACTAAAAATGTAGTCTTCTTTGGAAACAGGGTCATTGCAGATGTAATTAGTTAAGACAAGATTATACTGGAGAAGGGTGAGCATCTAATCCAATATGATTGGTGACTTCATAAAAAGGCAGAATTTGGAGACACATACACAGGGAGAACACCATGTGAACATGAAGGCAGAGGTCAAGATGATGTGTCTCCAAACCAGGGAACACCAAAGATTGCCTGCAAACCACCAGAAGCCAGGGGAGGGGTGGGTGGCAGATTCCTCTCCACAAGCCCTCAGAAGGAACAAACCATGAGGATACCTTGACCTTGAACTTCTAGCCTTCAGAACTGTGACACAATAAATCCTATTGTTTAGGACACCTAGTTTGTGGTGCTTTGTTTTAGCAACCCTAGCAAACTAATATGATATCAAAGCAGTTATTAACTCAAAGATACATGATTTCATTAAAGGCAATATGGTATGTACCTTTTAAAATATAAAATGCTGCTGCATTGAGAGGCCCAGAGGAATCAAAACAGGACTTATCGGGTTTCCCCACCTGTGGAAAGCAGAAAAGTTCATTTTTAAAGTTTTCTTTCTTGTTAAAGAATAAGTGTGCTAATAACTTTGTTAAGCTTTATCCTATGTAGCTGTTAGACATGCCATGCTTACAGGTACATAGTACATTCTATGTGCTTGTACTTTAAACAAGATATCTGTGCTGGATGTGCTCACAGGCATGTCCCAGCCTTCCACTTCTTTTATCTGTTTAGAAAAATTTTAAGTTGTTAGTGAATTGGGTTTTAGTTTAGATTGTGAGGTGCAGTAAGGACCACCCCAAATGCATAAGGAATAAATTTGTATGTATTCCCTTTGTTCTTTGTACTCTCGTGGCAAGATGGCTAGTGAGAGTACCCTTCCTACAGTCCAGGAAGTAAAAATTGCGTTGCTGAAAGATCCCTTGTCTCAGTGCTAATTTTTCTTTGTGGCACCCAGCATCTATTTCGAACATCTGTTTCCAACACCACTCAATTAGTATTAGATCATGCCCCCTTTGTACAGTCACATTTCTACACAACTGTCGATCATGCCTGCCCAATAAAGTCCCCATAAAAGACCCAAAGGGACAGAGTTCAGAAAGCTTCTGAGCTGGCTGAACAAGTGTAGGAGGTTCCTGAAGGGTGGTGTGCCCATGGAGGGCATGGAAACTTGAAACCCCTCCCCCAGACTTCATCCGATTAATCTTTTCATCTGTATCCTTTGTGGTATTCTTATAATAAACTTGTAAATGTAATGTGTGTGTATGTGTGTGTGTGTGTGTGTGTGTATACATATATACATATGTGTATACATATATATACATACACATATGTATATATGTATATATATGCACATATATATGTGCATATATGTATATATGTGTATATATACATATATACACATATGTGCATATATATGTATACATATATATACACACACATATACGTATGGAAATACGTTGACATTAGAATTTCCCAGAATTAGAATACATATGAAATTCTAATTTCAATGTATTTTCCAAAATCAATATTTCACTTATTAACTATTTTTGAGCTACAAAAACATCAATTTCATTTGGTGCACCCTAAGATTCATGCGATTTCTGGGCTGAGACACTGGCTCCCCTTGCTGTTTGCTTAATGGGACCACTAGGGATCCATATTTTGAACTAGACTCATTAATATTACATAGATTTCAGCTATGTGACTTTGGCCAAGTCCCTTACCTGCCCTGAACCCTTCTCCTCCCATGTAAAACAAGGAAATGAGGCTAGTCTCCCTCTAAGTTACAGCTAAGACATTCCGGGACTTACAAGAAGCCTTCATCTAAGCAGACTTGATGACTCTTGGGCCAGTGAGCTAAAAGCAGGGCTGCTTACAGAAATAATCTCAGCTAAACAAGGGTCTAAAGAAAAATATTAAAAGAGAGGGCTCCAGCAAATTAAATATTTGAAATGAAGAACTTGGAATTTATTAAAACCCTGTCACCATTTAAAATGCATAATTTTAGCATAAATTCCCTAGAAATAGTCCCTTTGTTTGCTATGTGTTCTTGTTAATAAAGGAGATCCTACATCTAGATTTGTCATACATGACGTATGACAAATGAATCAACCATAGGATGCAAATTACAATTATTATGAATTATGTATTTACTGTTTAATTACATTTAATTTTAGACTCTCCTAAAATTGCCTAACAAAACTTTGTGGGTGTTAAATGACTGCCTAATCTGCTTACTCTGTGCTATTTGCTGAAAATAGTTATACTGATTGTTTGGGATAATTAAAAGGAAAAAAAAACTAATCTGGGGGCTTGGTCCTAAAGAAAATATCCTAAAAATTTAATGCTTTTTTTTTTTTTGGCCTGGGTTGTACTAAAATATTAGTAAAATGTTAGTGACACTAAACTCATTAAAATAAGCCTTTGCACGTTACCACTGAATCAATTGGCTATAACTTGAATAACTAAATACAAGTCACATCAGTGCTACCCTTAGACTAGGGCAACAAGGCCTCTGCCCTGGCTTCTGTATATTAGAGGGTCTGTTCTAGCCCTTCTCTGCCCATGGTGCTCCATGCAAGGCAGGGAGTTCCCAGGGCCAGATGACAGGCCCACCTGGGGTGCACATACACATGCTCTTCTAGAATATATTCTAAGTACCCAACACCCAGACATTCCCTGCTCAGTGGGGCCCAAGCTGCTTTCTAAGGTTTTAAAAAACCTCTTGGCTGGGTCTTTCCTGCAAGGGTGACCATCACTGGCATGGCTCAGTGCTGGACCAAGAGGAAGCTGAGGTGGGGATGTGGGCAGAGTTAGGATTTGTTGGCTGGAGGAGGAGGAGAAGAAGCAGGGCACACACATCCCTGCCTGTGTGTGAGACCCCTCACAATGCAAGACTGAGCCTGGAGTGGGAAATGGAGTTGGGGGGAGCGAGAGAAGGAGGCAAACTAAATTGCACCCTAGTTTTCCAGGTTCTTAAGAAGGCATTGGTCAAAGTGGAGAGGAGAACACATATTTTACCTACAGTTCGTTATCTTGAATTATAATTTAATATTTAGGCAGATGGTATGAGGGCCTCCATTCACTCTTGCCCTGGACGAGGCAAATGTGAATGGAAGACTGAGTTACATCATAGTTTTGTGTTGTTGGTCTTTGAGTGTTCCATCTCTCTTACAATTTTAGTTTGTCACACCTTGCATCTTGTAAGTGTAAGTAATATTAATGACATAGAAAAGAAAACAAAAGAAGTGAAAAATAAGAGACTAAAGAAACTCTACAGGCTGGGCATAGTGGTTCATGCCAGTAATCTTAACACTTTGGGCGGCCGAAGTGGGTGGATCACCTGAGGTTAGCAGTTTAAGACCAGCCTGGCCAACAGGGTGAAACCCTGTGTCTACTAAAAAACAGAAAAAAATACAAAAATAAAATTATCTGGGTATGGTACTGCACATCTGTGATCCAGTTACTCAGGAGGCTGAGGCATGAGAATCTCTTCAGCCTGGGAGGCAGAGGTTGCAGTGAGCTGAGATTGCACCACTGCACAGCAGCCTGGGCAAGAGGCCATCTCAAACAAACAAACAAAAAAAAAAAAAAAAAAAAAGGAAGGAAGGAATGAACGAACAAAGGCTGGCAGGCAGAGACAGGCAGGCAAAGGCTTAATTTTTCTGCCCAGTGGGTTTTGGAATATGGTTGGCTTCCTTCAGGAAGCTTTTTCCCCAAGCTGGTGATGATAAAACCTAATGCTTTCTATGTGTTGGGTTCTCTTATAAACACTAACACGTATTAACCAATCGAATTAATCCTGTGTTAACAGCCTCCCACTTTACATATGAGTAAACCTGGGCTTCAAAGGGTGACTTGCACACGGCCTGGCAGCTGGGAAGCGGATAGGGAATGTGAACCCAGCAGTCTGGCCCCAGGACTCCTGCTACAGGATCCTACAGGACGTTGGAGCATTGTCCATTAGAGCTGTCTTCACAAGCTTCTGCTTCCCAAGCGACTAGTTAGTAATGTTTCCCTCTCGCCAATGATTCTGGCACCTGGAGCACTAAACACATCCTTAGATTCGGCAAGGATTTTCCAGTAAAAGGTTGGTGCACTGTCGGGGCTGAGCACAGCTGTTCAGTATTTGAGGGTTTGTCTTTTTCTGCGGTGTTTTGTGTCGCTTTTGAGTGCTGATATAATAGAACAAGCTTAGCACAGTGCCTGGCGCTCAGCAAATCCTGGCAAGAAAGGAGGCCGAGGAAAAGAAGTAAGCCAGGAGAGACGGGAGAAAGGAAGGGAATGCGCCTTGTAAACATTACCGTAGTTGGTGCGAATTCTGGAGGGTGAGGGGAAGAGACGCGGGTGCCGAGGCGGAGAGAAGAGAGCACCGAGCCCCAGCCCCTCAGACGTGGCCCGCCCCGGCCTCGCGACGCCCCGCCTCTTCCCCGCCTCTTCCCCGCCCCATGCAGGTCTCCGTCCCGCCCCCCACAAAGCCGGCACCGCCCCGCCCCTCCTCGGCGCCCCGCCCCTCCTCGGCGCCCCGCCCCCTACGGCGTTTGCCCCGCCTCCTGCGGGCGGCCTGGCGAGGTGTTTACCCGCGGTGCATCGTGGGGCAGTCTCCTCGGGCAACCCCGGCCCAACAGCCGCCCAGAGGCTGTGCTGAGCTGGCGCAGCGGCGGCTGCAGCATGAGCCGGACCCCGGTATCGTCTGCGCCCCAGTCGAGTGTAGACTACTACGAGAGGCTGGGCCAACTCCAGCACGGGCTGCGGGACAGGTAGGTCCACTGGGGCAGGGGTGGGGAGTCGGCCGGCGCCGAGGGTCTTCCGCGAGCGCTGCCCCCTTTTCCTTCCCGAGGTTCCCCGAGGCCTAGGCCCGCGCGCACCGCCCCCCAGGCTTCCAGTGGGGCCTAGAGGACAGCATTTAGTAGAGACACCCCCTGTATTTGGGATGGGAGCGGAGAGAGGTGAGAGACCGCCCCCCGTGCCCCTCAATAGCTGCTAAAGCCTGGTCTCGGGTTGGAGGATGCGGCCGCGTCACAGAATTTGCCCAGAAGTGAAAGTGGGAGTTCTTCTGCCTGTCACTCTCCATCAAGCCCTGTGAGTTTCTCTTGTCCCCTTTACACGCCCCCTCCCAACTCTCTTCAAATTGTCATCCCGCCGTGACAGCTGCACTGCATCAATGATGATAGGTCCTGGAACGCAGACGGGAGTGTGTGTGTGTGTTTGTCAAACATGTGCCCTGTTTAACTCTGGAGACTTTTGTGGGGAGCGAGGGCTGGCTAGATTTCCAGCGAAGGGATGAATTTCCAGCTAGAGAAGTCCAGCTTCTAGAAGGTTCATGATGCCTTTGATTAAGATATAAAAGATGGGAACCACCGAAAACAGTTAGATCTAAGAGTGCATAGAAAGAGAAAATTATACCGCAATGCACTATAAATAACCACGTAAAATAAATTGCTGGGCCTCTTATTTAGCTGCTAAGTTAATTAGACTTGTAAATCTCATTAGTTGACAAGAAAAGAAATGGATTTTTGGATCTCTTGATAAACAAAACATTTAATGAGTGTTAAAAGTTACAAAACCATTCTAGTGAACAGGAGAGCTCTGTGTATGACAATGCTAAAATGATAACAATAATTACATGGAAAATAAAGGCAGAAGTAAGTGATTTTGAAAAGGAATTACATTTATCTTATGCTAGATTTAATTCTTGTCAGATGTTTATAGAGCATCTACAACAGGCTTTCTTAACTGTCCTTATCATTTTTTTCCTTTGCGCTCCTTTTCTACACCCTATTTTCTTTCTGACATATCATCACTCATCCATATCAGTGACCTTTTAATTTCTAACTTTAGAAAGAAATCACTTCCTGCAGAGCCTTCCCTGTTTCAACCCATTCCTTAACTTTTGTGACTCTTGGCTTTCATACAGCACTCATAAATTGCGTTCTCTTTGAACTATTAGTTGTAAGTTATTTTTGTTTGCTGTGCTAGGAACACCTGGCTGTTTATAGTCCTTACGGCACAATAATTGTATAATGATTATGTACTTTGTGATTAACACTTATTCCTTTAATTATTAAACAAGGTGAGGCTGTTGAAAACATATAAGGAATTTGAGTCAAATTTTATAGTCTGTTCATGGTTCTGCATTTGGTGGTTTGTTTTATTTTTAAGTCAGTATAAATCTGTTGATCTGTGTGTTCATTTTTTATTTTAAGAATTTACAACAGATTCAGATTAATGCACATTGCACACAGTTATAGAGGCAAATAACTCTAGATACAGAAAAGGCTGCAGTAGAAACATCAAAACCTGGATTCTAGGTTATGAACAATTGTGTGACCTTGAGCAGGTTGTTCCATCTCTCTGAATCTTGGTTCTTTACCAGAATGAGGGGGCTTGACTAATATGCAAAAGTAAGCCACAGATTTATTTTTTCTCTTTGCTAGAATAATAGGCCTTAAAGTAAAAAAGAAAAAAGCCGAAAGTTGTAGTTTTGCAAAGCAATGTGTAAAGAATATTATTGTCTGTATCCAATTTGAGTGTTTGGTTGTACCTTTTTATTTGTTTGAGACATAGTCTCACTCTGTTACCCAGGCTGGCGTGCAATGGCATGATTTCAGCTCACTGCAATGCCCGACTCCCAGGTTCAAGTGATTGTCCTTCGTCAGCCTCCCAAGTAGCTGGGATTACAGGCACCCACACCAACTCCAGCTAATTTTTGTATTTTTAGCAGAGAGATGGGGTTTCACCATGTTGGCCAGGCTGATCTTGAAACCCTGACCTCAGGTGATCTAGCCTGCCTCTGCCTTCCAAAGTGTTGGGATTACAGGTGTGAGCCATCACACCCAGCCTTGCATATACCTTTTTAAACAAACACAAACAATCCCAGTGACTACGGAAACCACTGTCTCTTAAATTTCTGAGTCATTTCATAGGTTGCAACCCTGGGTAGCCACAGCTGCTTTATCAATCCAGAAACTTCTGGGAAGTGAGAGACAAAAAAACTCCCTCTTTCTCAGCCCTTTTAGAGGTGGTCATTGCAATGTTAGCGGTCGAATAACCAGCATATTTCTAGCCCAAGTCATCTTAGCTGTGATTACATGCAGATGCAATTTTATAGTCGGAATGTTTTCCTGTATGTGTACAGTGTTTTCTCTGCATTGTGGTGAAAGTCAATAATTGAATCTAAAAGAGTCTAATGGAGTGACTTGTTACAGTGTGAATAGTACCCACAAGCATGATAGAAACTTGTAAGTGGAATTGGCTCTTACAGTTATGTAAAAACATCCCTTTAAAAGGACCCATTAGCCAGCCATGGTTTTTTCAGTGCCTATATTGATTCAGAGTAAAATATCATAATAGTCTAGAAACTGATACTGAGATATTTATTAGTAGAGTAAGCTGAAGATGGTATAGAATTGTAGTATTGAGACAAAAACAGAGTTACGAGTGGCTTAAAAGTAGAAAACTCAGCCAGATAAGGACCACTCAGCTGTGTAAAACTGAAAGGTCCAAGTGAGGGGTGCAGGTGACTAAAAGCATGAACTATGGGTAAGCATCCCAGGAATGGATGTTTCAGAGATTCTGAAATAGAGATTTAATGTGTAGGAATTGCAAATCATGGAAAAGCTTTTCATTGAGGCAAATACCTGATTTTTAGTATTAAATTTAAAAAAGACATGGAGGGCTCAGCATTCAGAGGTGCTGCAGTGTGGATGAGGGGCTAGAAAATAGGCCTGTGAAGAAGAGTTAACAAGATTAGTGCCATTTTGCCTGGGAGAGAAAGCCAAGAGGTGTTTGATTGTCAGGGTATGAAGTGTTATGATAGAGAAGAAGTGTGAACAGCAGATGTCTGCATCTGCTGAAGAAGTTTTATATTAATTACTAAGAACTTGCTGCTTGGGAGGTGATGGATTTCCAAAGTGACTGTGGTCCTTTTTCACTAGAAGTCATAGATGAATGTTAAAAATTATTTTAAAGTGGCCGGGTGTGGTGGCTCAAACTTGTAATCCCAGCACTTTGAGAAACAGAGGGCGGGAGTTCGAGACCAGCCTGGCCAACATGGCGAAACCCCATCTCTACTAAAAATACAAAAATTAGCTGAGTGTGGTGGCACACGCCTGTAATCCTAGCTACTTGGGAAGCTGAAGTAGAATCGCTTAAACCTGGGATGGAGAGGTTGCGGTGAGCCGAGCTTGCACCACTGTACTCCAGTCTGGGCAACATAGCAAGACCATCAACACAGCGACACTCCGTCTCAAAGAGAGAGAGAGAGAGAGAGAAAGAGAGAAATATAATTGTATATATTAATACAATTATATAATTTAAATATTAATTGTATATAATTATATAATTAATGCAATTATATATTAAAGCAAATTCTAGTTTACAAAAAAGTTGCAAATGTAGGACAAAGACTTCTAATATTCCTGTCACCCAGATTCCTCAACTATTAACATTTTATTAGATTTTCATTCTGTCTTTCATTGATACTATCAGTTCAGTTTCTATCTAAATCTTTCTGTCTAAAACCATTAGCCTTTTCTGAGCTATGAGAAGTGCATGTATGATGCCTCATCACTCCTAGAATCTTCAATGTGTATTTCCAAAAACCAAGGATGTTCTTGTACATAATCACCGTACAGCCCTCCTAGTGGTGAAACCAGCCCACAGACCCCATCAGATTTCACTGGCTATTTTAACAATGCCCCCCTCCCCCCAACCATTTTTTTTTTGTCCTGGTCTAGTGGCTCATCTGGGAACCTGGCTTGCATTTGGTTGCCATGTCTCTTCAGTCCCCTCACATCTGGAATGATTCCTCAATCTTTCCCTGTCTTTCATGTTCCTAACAAGTTCATAGAGTACAGCTTTCATTCTAGAGGGTGACCCTCAAGCTGAGTCTGTCTGTTGGTGTCTCCTTACCAGACTACAGTCATGCTTTCTTAGGAATACAACAGAAATGAAGCACTACCCCAGGGTGCAGGGTCATAGATGTATTTAGAGGTCTTCCTGTCCTTGTAATGTAATGACAAGTTACTCACACTATTCAGTCATTCATTCTTCATGAACTGAGTACCCAACTGATTGTGAAACTCTAGAGGGGGAGTGGTAACTAATAAAAATTTCTAATGTGGAAGCAATTATGCCATATGCCCTTCACTTCTATTCTAAGTTAGCTTTTAGTGAGAAAGTAAAGATCTGTGATGCTGTTAGTTAAAAATGTGTGTTTTTGTCATTTTTTTCCTTTTAATCTTTTTTCTTCCCTTTTTAACATAGGCATACTCCAGCCCATAGGTTGTGTTCCCCAAGTGAAGATTCTGTGTCTGGACTCCATTTTTCCAGTAAATGAATTTTGGTTAAATAGTAGTTTCCATTTAACATTATGCAAAAGAAAGAAACTTATTTAACCTGTAATGTAGCTAACAGCGAATTTGGGGATGATCTTTTTTTAAAGGAAAAAAATTATCTGAAGAAATATGGAAACTAATAATTAAGAGCTCACAAACGGAACATGAGCCCAGCCCCTTTCCCTCAGGAAGCCAACCTGAGATCACCTCTGTTGGAGTCTTTATCTTTGTTTCACAGCCTTTTATTTAGGATTCTCCACTTGGATAGGATATTATGTGGTTTCTTTTTTGGCCTTTACTTAATGTTAACTTAGATTAGCAATTTAGCTCCAGTTAGGTGGGTTTGAAGCAAATGGTGGTGCTCAAATGAAATCCTCTGTGGCTAAACCTCCCAGGCACTCTTCTTGGGACTGAATGGCTTCATCATTTTTACCTCCCAGCCCCCTGGTTTTGGCTGCTTCTGCTTCCTTTGCTGCCCAGTTCCCCTCCCCCTCCTGCTAGTACTCACCTGAACAGCACAGGTTCAGTCTTCACTGATAGTAGCTCCAGGAAAACAGCAACCTGTGACAAATAATGGTACCGTTACAGAGTTATAAAAAGAAATTCTTCCAAATTTGAAATGATAGTGTTAGGAGACCTGGTTTTCATGTAAGTGAGGCCAGGTTTACTTTTCAGAGGCCTTTTCTAGCTCATGCACTTGGCTGTGCCCAGGCTTGTCTGGTTGAAAACAGAGCAAGCCACCAGTCTTCAATCTGTATACAAGATATAATGGGACCCCATCACTGAAATGCCAGAGACTCAGAGAAGTCTAGCCACATTACATTTTATACACTTATCTTGTTTGTTATTGCCTGTCCTTCTCCCTAGAATGTCAACTGTCTGAGGGCAGGGATCTTGGCTGACTAGTTTACCATATTAGTTTCCAGGCCTAGAATGGTGCCTGGGTCATCATAGGCACTCAAGAAATACTTGCTAAATTAAGGTACCTGCTTCCCAGCCTTTTCCTATTGTGTTTCCCCATTTACTTTGTGAATCTTGTTCTTTTGCCTCATATTGGTGTTCATTTTGTTTTTTAGATTTCCCTGGTGATGGCTGCATACTTTTATGTCTTTGTTTTGGATGCATCTGGCATTTTCTTCTTAGACCAGAGAAACATTTTCATAAAGGAGTAATTTGGTATTTGGAGTTTTTTTTGACCTCTAATCAACACCTTGCATCAAAGGCATGATTTCAAAGGAGAGCATGGTCTAAATCCAACTCCCTATTACTTATCAGTATAATTACTTATAAAATGTTTCTTTTTTTATTATAGTGAAAAGAAGAGATTGGACCTGGAAAAGAAACTTTATGAATATCATCAGTCTGATACATACAGGTAAGAGACGACAGTGGGGACAGTTTTCAAGCCAGGCTTCCATATATTAATAAAAAATTTAACCCTAATGTTATATCATAAATATTGTAGCTAAAGACTGGTTTTTTTGTTGTTTATTTGTTTTGTTTTGTTTGAGAGGAAGACTTGCTCATTCGCCCAGGCTGAGTGCAGTGGCGTAATCTTGGCTCGTGATAACCTCTGCCACCCGGGTTCAAGCAATTCTTATGCCTTAGCCTCCCAAGTAGCTGGGATACCTGGGAAGGCGCCCACCACCACACTGGCTAATTTTTCTATTTTTAGCAGAGACTGGGTTTCACCGTGCTGGCCAGGCTGGTCTCAAACTCCCGAGCTTAAGTGATCCCCATGCTTTGGCCTCCCAAAGTGCTGGGATTACGGCTGTGAGCCACTATGCCCAGCCTAATTGGAGTACTCTTAACCATTCTCTTATTTTTAGTGTGTAATAATTTGAAATAAAACATTGCAGTTTAATTACTATCAAATAAATTTGGTTAAAATTGGTATGAGATCAAAATATTTTCATTATTTCATATTTGTTTTATTTCAAGAATCTTAAAATTTGCTTAAAAATATTAAAGTAAGACATAGTCTTATCTTATTGGTTGCAATTTAAACACATTGAGCTTGTGTGATGATTAAGACATAATTTTGTGGTTGATCTTTCAACGTACTACTGTAGGCAGGGTTACATGGTATCCCATTTGTTCATGGATATATGAGAATGGCTGTTAAAATTATAAGCAGTGAATAATATATTGTACATATTATCCTTTTTAGGTTTCTTCCTCTGCTATTAAGAGCAGATTTTAAATATTTTGATTTCTATTTTATAAAAACTGAACTTTATCCTTAAGCTAAAAGTACGGCATTACCTCTTGTATTATTCATATGAAGAACTTCTGGCTTTGATAGCATTAAATTTGTGATTTATTCATGTCACACTATGAGTGAGAAATGAAGAGATCTATCCAGAAGAGAGAGGCTAAGAATCCTTTATAAGAATCCTTTAAAATCAAATTACGTCTTAGGTCAGTTCTTTTCCTTGTCTTCAAAATCATTCTTTGGTTTTAAGATTTAGCGTACTTCTAAAGCTTCCAGTTAGTGTACTTCTAAAGCCAGATGTATGGCTTCTAAAGCAGCCATATGTCTCTAGTAACTCTGAAAGAGACAAGAACCCACTTGTTTTGTGTGAGGAAGAAATAGCCAGCATTGCGGATGCTGTGGCCTCAGGAGTGGGCCGAAGTCTGAGGGGATCCTTGGCAGCTGCCAGTTTTCTAGCCCATGGCTAAAGAGGCAGAAGACTGTGTGTAGACGTTTCATGTAGTCTGTTCTTGGGAAGCCTCCTGGCCTTCTGGTGGTGGGAGAAAAGGATGGGCACCTTTACCAAGCTGTCAGTTCACTGAGCTGCTGCATCTCTCCCAGTCTCTTACTAAGGATATGATTTTCTAAAAATAGGCTTGCTTAGATTGCCTGTAGGAGAAAATCCAAACAAGGCTGCTTCCACCTGGTACCTGCCAGAAGGCAGAGCCTGAGATGAGGGTCTGTGTATAGGTGGTAATTTATTTGACGAGGTGATCACCTAAAATTGGAGAGCAGAGCTGGACCGAACAAAATAAGAGCTGTTCACTGCAGTGAGCACCTGGGGCTCAGCCCCTCCAGACCTTCAGAGGAGCCTTCAGAGGAGTAATGTACCCTTCTGCTTTGCACAGTGACTCCTGCGAAAGGAGAGGGGGTTGCATTCCTACTGGTTCCTGACCCCCACTGGTAAGGGCAGCCCCAGGTGGCGATAACTCCTTCTTACATCTAGGCTTTTCCATGCTGCAAACTCAGAAAGGCATCCCTGAGATAGCAAGATGCTAAGTGCAGCTGAGGCAGAGGCAGATGTTCTCAGGTGATGTTATACCACATGCAGCAGGCCGTGGCAGCTATGGTGACTGGCTGGTAGAGAAAAGGTTGGGCCAAGAGGTGTGAGGTGGGCACGAGCGGTGTCCCATCCAGCAGCCCACCAGACCTGCCATTATGTATATCCTTTTTAATTTACCATCACCATCTCTTTCCAGCCTCCCCCTAAGATTTGACACTGACTGAAACGTCAGGTTCTTAAGCATGATGGGATCTTTTGTAATATAACATAGACTTCTAGGCTTTGTGGTTAGTTTACCTCAGTTCTATCTGAGCCTCACCAGCTCTTAGCCTGTGACCTTGGGGCAATTACTCCAACATTCTGTGCCCCCATTTCTTCTGGCAAATGGGAATAATGATAGCTGTGAGAACTCAACAAGATTCATATAAAGCCTTAAAGCAGCGTCTGACCTAGAGTCAATTATTATTTATTATAATTTTATCAACATTCTTGTTCCTATTTATTGCCTTTGAGCTTTCTGACATGTTGTTTTCCCTGCCTGGAATGTTTTACCCTCATCTTTTCTTTTTTGATTTTACCAGTTTTGATTGACTCTCATTCATCTTTCAGGGTTTTTTTTTTGTTTGTTTTCGAGACAGTGTCTTGCTCTGTTGCTCAGGCTTGAGTGTAGTGGTATGATCTCAAGTCACTGAAGCATCTGCCTCCTGGGTTCAAGTGATTCTCCTGCCTCAGCCTCCTGAGTAGCTAGGATTACAGGCAATGCCCCCACACCTGACTAATTTTTGTATTTTTAGTAGAGACGGGGTTTCACCATTCTGGCCAGGCTGCTCTTGAACTCCTGACCTCAAGTGATCCTCCTACCTCAGCCTCCCAAAGTGCTTGGATTACAGGCCTGAGCCACTGTGCCTGACCCATCTTTCAGGTCTTAGCTGAAAATTATTTCCACTGGGAAAGCCTCCCTGACTCTTTTAGCTAGATCAGGTTGCCCAGTATGTAGAAGACCTTTATAAGTTTCCCTCATAGCATTCATTCATCATGTATTTACTTATTTCATTGTTTTCTTTGTTGAGCTTAGCTGAAAGACTTTGATATTTGGAGTGCTGAATATATGGATGATTTCTTGGGCAGATGAGTTACTCATGTGTTCCACTTTGAAGGTTAATGTGGTGGCGGGAATGGAACTAGAATTTGGATGGAAAAGGCATGGTACTATTATACCCACTCCAGGTAGACACCACCAGCAGCAGCTTTACTGAGTGCCTGAGTGTGAAAGACAGTATGTTAGGTTCCACCTGCATTACAGTTACTTGCATCAAAAATGCAGAGACATGGGCAGCAATAAGACCAGCCTTCAGTTTTTTGTTCAGAAAGAAAAATGAAGACAGCCAACCATGGTCAAAGCACAGAATTATTAACACAATAAAGACTTTCTTGAAAATTGTTGGCCTAGGGTTGGAATTTTAAGGTCTGTTACTAAACAGCTTTGGACATCTCCAGCATCTTTGCAAATCTTTGTTTTAAGGGTAAATATTTTTGTCATTTTAAAATGTATTTTTGTTTGATGAAAGAATGTTGAATGATTTATTGAGCCAACAATAGAAATGCTGTGCAATAGGGAAGAAGAGTTAGAATTAACGGCATGGGTACTGTGAGAAAAGTGGATGCACAAGTTGAACTATCCAGGTTTTTTTTTTTAAGTACAGGAAAGTTGGAATGCAAAGTATGTTTTTGCTATTACACTTTGGATAAGAGTCTTAAAGGGTTTTTCACAGTTGGAGTAGTTACAGTTCATATATTATTTTAAAATATTTTAATAGTGAACTATATTGTTGTAATTTCTAACAAATATGTTTATATTCGCTAAACGAGAAATTTTTGTATTTTAAATTTTTAAATTTCTTTTTGATTTCTTAATTTTATGGATTGTGATTTGCAGTTTGATTTAATTTCCATATGAGGAGTTGTTTTTGAAATTGTCTATCATATATCAGAATGTTAGTGAGATATTTGTCGAACATGGCCACATAGACACCACTCTTGACATCACATTTAATTTTGAGAAATAAATCCATAGAAATCTTTACTGTATGAATGTTAGACTGTGGTCTTGTATATATTTCTCAGGAGAGTTATGCTTTAGAGGAAACCAGTATGATACCTCAGTGGTACCGCATTCATTTTCTCCCTCCAAAAATATGTGCATATATTTTGTCCTTTGGGTTTCAGTGGTTTGGGTAAAATACCTTAGAATACATTGTCTCATTAACAATTTTGATAAAGAAAATTCTCTTAGATTCGTCCAACTCTAGTCCATTGTTTTAAACCTGCTTTTATTTTTCTAGAGTTAAGCTGAAATATGTGAAACTAAAGAATTATCTGAAGGAAATATGTGAATCTGAAAAGAAGGCTCATATTCGAAATCAAGAATATTTAAAGCGATTGGAGCATGTCCAAGCTCATGTTGGGCACTTCACCACAAATACAGAGAAGCTTCAGAAACTGAAGGTGACATCCTGTTTTTTACTATGCTTTATTGTATTTCTTGTTATTTATTTATTTATTTATTTTTGAGATTGGGCCTCACTGTGTTACTCAGTTTAGACTTGAACTCCTGGGCTCAAGTCGTCCTTCTGTCTCAGCCTCCTGCGTAGCAGGGATTACAGGTGCACACCCCACAGCCGTGTACCTCTTGAGTAGCTGAGATTACACATGCGCACCCCATGTAGCTGTGTACCTCCCGAGTAGCTGGGATTAGAGGTGCACACCCCAGGTTTATGTTTTGTTTCTAATCTTTTTTTTTTGCTAAAATGAGAAATAGTGAGTAGTAAGTTTCAGATCAGTGGTAGTCACTAATGTTCAGTTGTTCATACTTAGGATTAAGTATCAGCCTTTTCTGTGAATTACCATGTGGCTAAATTTTATCAGAGAACTTGATACTGCATTTTCCAACATTCTTCTTTAGTTGAGGAATCAATGGGATATCTGTAACACAGGCAGGATCACTAGCCAGTACCTGGCACAGTGTGACACATGGAATTTGTTGGCTGAATGACTGAATTTGAGCAGCATTGGGGTTCTCTCTAGAAACTGCTTCTGTCTTGAAAGGGTTGTTTTTCTATGGTCTGGGCCCCTCTTCTCTGGCAAACAGTGCATTGAAATAGCAGTAAGGGTAGAACTGTCCCCAAGGAGTTTGCCTTCATGCTCCTGGACTGTGCAATCCAGAGTGACTGCCCTTGCAGCCCTCTCTGGTTCTGGCACCTTCTTCGCCTTAAGGTGAAGGTGCTTAGCCACTTGCTGTTCTACAAATTATGCCAAATGTAGAGGGCCAGGAGCTAGGCCTTTATCCTCGCCGTTTGTACTGGTCAGGTATTGACCCGTTTAACCCAGGTGAACACTGGTCACAGGAGGAGTTGGATTCAGTATTCTGTCTGCTACCCTGCTACTGAGCCCCCCACACTTTTGTTTTTTTGCACTATAGTTTTTCTTCCGCCTTTTATTGTAAAATTTTCAAATACACAGAAGAATTACCATAATCATTATGATGAACACTCATAATTCACTTAGCTGCAATAGTTGTAAATATCTTGTTATATTTGCTTTGTATGTATATTTTTTCTCTCTGAGCCATTGCAAGTCTGCTGCAGGCATCATGACACTTCTTTCCTAAGCACTTGAGCATGGATCTCCTAAATGCAGGAGCAGTCTCCTACATAATCATATCATTATCACATCTAAGAAGATTAAAAGTGATTCCATAATTTTTTTTTTTTTTTTTTTTTAGATAGGGCCTCAACCTGTCATCTAGGCTGAAGTGCAGTGACGTGATCATGGCTTACGGTAGCCTCAGCCTTCTGTGCTCAGGCGAGCCTCACTCCTCAGCCTCAAGCTGGGACTATAGGTGTGCACCACCATGCCTGGCGAATTTTTTATTTTTCATAAGATAAGGTCTCACTATGTTGCCCAGGCTGGTCTTGAACTACTGGTCTCAAGCAGTTCTCCTGCTTTGGCCTCCCGAAGTGCTGGAATTAATAGGTTTGAGCCACTGCACCCAGACATAATATTATTTAATATTCAGCTCATATTCAGATTTCCCCACCTCTCCCAAAAAGTAATTTATTTTTCTAGACCAGGAGCCAACTAGGGATCACATATTGTTTGTTTTTTATGTTATTGGTTATTTTGCCTTTTTTTTTTTGTCTCTTTTAATCTCATTTAGTCTCCTACTATTTCTCCTTTTTCCCCCCCGTGTTATTGGCTATTTTGAAAAAGGGCAGTCCATCTGCTTGTAGAATGATGCTCATTCTGAATCTAAGGCATCATTAAACTTGCACAGCATCCCCTGTATTTCCTGTGAACTGGAAATGTGGTCTGTACAAATACTGTCCAATAGAACTTTCTGTAGTGATGGCAATGTTCTGTATCTATGCTGGTGCTATCCAATACAGCTAACTGCCCATATATGGCTATTGAGCACTTAAAATGTGGTTTGTGACACTGAGGACTATATTTTTAATTTTGCCAATTTTAATTAATTTTAAGTTAAATAGTCACAGGTGAGGTTATACTTCCAACTGTATCCCATCAGGAGGCCCGTGATGTCAGGTGGCCCCTGAGTGAGGCTGACTTTGATCCCTTGGTTAAGGTGGTGATCTCTAGATGTCTCTATTGTAAGGTACATTTTTTCCCCTTTGCATATTAGTAATTAATCTGTGGACTGATGGGTTGGCATCATGGGAATATTGTGTTCCTCAATATCCTTTTACTTAATGGTTTTAGGATCCATAAATGAGCCTTGCCTGAATCAGTTATTTCTAGTGGAAGTTATGAAAAGTGGTGATTTTCTGTTTTACTGTGTCTTCTGTTAGCTGACTTTCCTCTATAATGAAGAGCATTTTCCTCCTTTTTTTCTTTCAACCTCTTTTTTTTTTTTAAGCCTACAACAGTACCTGGCATTCTCAGGAAGTCTTCCATCCAAGTATGAAACAGGCCCAACCCTCGATCAAGAGATCGAGACCATCTTGGCCAACATAGTGAGACCCCGTCTCTACCAAAAATACAAAATTTAGCTCGGCGTGGTGGTGCATGCCTGTAGTCCCAGCTACTCGGGAGGCTGAGACAGAAGATTGATTGCTTGAACCCAAGAGGTGATCAGAGATTCTGCCACCACACTCCAGCCTGGCAACAGAGCGAGACTTTGTCTTAAAAAAAAAAAAAAAATTCTTCTGATAGCATAAAAGACCAAATCATGGCACTACACTCTGGAAAGATGTGAGTTCCATGGAGAATTGGACTTTGGCTGTCACCCTCAGTCCAAAGCCAATGTTTGTTGTGTGCCTACAAACCCAGACAGCAATGTCAGAGACCCCACTAGTGATCCCACCTTCTTCAGCAGGCTGTGCAGTGAGCTGAGGTTCAACACAGGTGATGTTTGTCTCTGGTGTTTTCCCATTTCTTTCTTCTTCTTCCTTTTGGGCCAGTGGTGGCCCAGGTATGCCAGAACCACTTGTCTCCTCCTAATGCTGCCCATCTGGGTATCGGATCTTTAACTCCTTTCTTGACTGACCTCACATAAGCCTTAGGAGAAAGGTGTTCACAGTGCATTGCCCACACACCCCAAAATGCCACAGGAATTTCACCTTGAATAGACCACAGTTAATACAAATGAACTTCAAATTGGTAGAATTCCAGAAAGTGAAACCAAGTGAAGCAATATGAGAGAAGTGGGGATTTTGCCCAGATTAACACCAGGTGAGTTTCTCCCACTTTGTAGAGGTGGGCTGGGCCCAGTTCATTGTATAATGTTAAAATCTCTTAAAATGGGCTAAATGCTGAAAACACTGCCAACTGATTTTATGACTCATAATACTTTATTTGGAGGCCTATAATATTTTTTTTTTTTTTTTTTTTTTGAGACGGAGTTTCACTCTTGTTACCCAGGCTGGAGTGCAATGGCGCGATCTGGGCTCACCGCTACCTCCGCCTCCTGGGTTCAGGCAATTCTCCTGCCTCAACCTCCTCAGTAGCTGGGATTACAGGCACACGCCACCATGCCCAGCTAATGTTTTGTATTTTTAGTAGAGACGGGGTTTCACCATGTTGACCAGGATGGCCTCGATCTCTTGACCTCGTGATCCACCCGCCTTGGCCTCCCAAAGTGCTGGGATTACAGGCGTGAGCCACCGCGCCCGGCGCCTATAATAATTTTTAAAGCTTTTAAAGGATATTGACCTGTTATGTAGCTTTGAAAATATGGTGGTGTATCTATGTTGCTATTTGTCAGTTGGATAAAGAGGCTGAATAAACACAGTTCAAAAATATAAATATTAGATCTGGGCATGGTGACTCATGCCTGTAATTCCAGTGCTTTAGGAGACTGAGGTGGGAGGATCACTTGAGGCCAGGAGTTCAAGACCAGCCTGGCAAACATAGTGAGACCCCAAATGTATGAAAAATTTAAAAATTTGCCAGCTCTGGGGGTGTATACCAGTAGTTTCAGCTGTTCAGGAGTCTGAGATGGGAGGATTATTTGAGCCTAGGAGATTGAGCCTACAGTGAGCTATGATGGTGCCACTGCAGTCTAGCCCAGGTGACAGAGCAAGACCCTGTCTTTGTAAAAAATAATAAAATAAATTTTAAAAATCCAAGAATGTAAATATTAGTATTAACGCCGTGAGGAGTGTACCCTTCTCTTCCTCATTCTGCCCCTGTTCCCTGTATTAGCTGCTTTTGTAGAAGGGTCCCCAGTTGGTCCTAACTTAAAGCATTTTCACTCAGGTGCCCCTTATCCTTGTCTCAGGTTGGGTTCTCCCTGAAGCAGACCTGGAGAACAGGGATTGACGTTAAGTGGTTTATTTGGGAGATAAGGAGTATCAGTAGGCAAGCGGGGAGGGGAGGCAGGGAGAGCACTGGGTATATTATTAAGCCAGCTACCATAGTCAGCCTCTAGTACTGAATCCTACAGGGAAGTTCTGGCAAGTGGTTTGCACATTTGTGATATATGTCCAGCAGCTCCTAAGCAACATTGATTGAGGACAGATGGGTGAGGTTGTAGGTGGTAGGGAGTTAACCATATGCTCTCCACAGCAGCCTTTCCAGGTTCTGAGAAGCCTTAGGCACAGAGCCCTGATTCCAGAACTTAGGAGTGGCCAGAAAGATCCCAGAGACATGTGTGGAACATTGCCAACATCTGCCCTAAATAGCCTCCCTCATGGCAGCATTGTCAGGCATGGGGCCGACATGTCAGGGCGTTCAGGGAGGATCCCCATGGCAGGCACAAAAGCTTTCATCTGGTTAGGTCTCTCTTTGGCCTGAAATGCTGGACCAGGCTTTTCAGGACAAAGCTCAGGTACTGGTCTCTGCCTGCACAGAATAGCCTCACCATTATTACTCCTCCCAACACACACTCACACTCTCTCTCTCCCTCGCTGTTGCAGTCTCTCTCACACAACTACACAGATGTGCACATTTTTTCTTCCCATCTCTCCCTAATCTGTCCCCCTCCACCTTCTCCTGCCATCCCCATTTCTCCCTCTTATCTTTTCTCCTCTCCTATTCCTGTCTCCCTGCCTCTCCTTACCCCCAAATCTGTCTCCTCCAGATCCTCTAACTCTTCCACCCCGATCTTAACCACTGTCTCTCTACATCTTTATCTCCTGCACATGTGCGCACGCACGCACGTGTGCACACACACACACACAAACACACACACTCTTACATGCACCCACAGTACTTTAAGCGTGCTGCACAATTTGCATTTCCTTGAAAGCACCACATTATCTCATAACCTTCTTCAATTAGAAGGCCTTTTCCCCCCTGCCCTGCCTTAGGTCTGTGTCATAATTATCTCAGTAAGTACTTCCTTCATGGTATTATAATTGTTTACATGTCTGTTTTCCCACTTCACTGTGAGCTCCTTGTCTTATTATTTCAGTGCTCTCAGAATCTGACCCAGAATATGGCACATAATAAGCACTCAGTAAGCATTGAGACTTTCCCCTTGACTGCAATTAATTCTCCCATATTTTTTACCTTATTCTCTTATGGACCATGAACAACTATGTAAGAACTAATGTGGTATTGATGATACTCTATTATACCTTCCCAGTTAGCATTTCTGTTTAATAGCAGAGATATTCTGAATATATAATTTCATTATTTAAAGATGTGATTCTGCAGGCCTGGGTAACATGATAAGACCCTGTCTCTACAGAAAATAGAAAAAATTAGCTGGACGTGGTGGCACTAGCTCTAGTCCTCTAGTGCCAGCTATTCAGGAGGCTGAGGTAGGAGGACTGATCGAGCCTGGGAGGTTGAAGTGCAGTGAGCTGTGATCATGCCACTGCAATCCAGCCTGGGTGACAGCAAGACCTTGTCTCAAAAAAATAAAGTAAAATAAGATAGATGTGATTCTCCATGACACTTCAGTCATTAGGTTATGTATGGCTATTAGGAGCTAATATTTGAGGAGAACAAATCTTTTGAAGTCTAATTTGATTTCTACTAAGGATTGTAAGAGACATTGTGGGCAGGGCACAACCTTCAGGCCCCTGGAGGACAAAGTGTGTAGCAAATGCCTTTTTTTTTTTTTTTTTGAGATGGAGTTTCGCTCTTGTTGCCCAGTCTGGAGTGCAATGGTGTGACCTCGGCTCACCGCAACCTCCACCTCCCGGGTTCAAGCAATTCTCCTGCCTCAATGAGAGTGTCTTGCCTGTTAATATGCAATAGTTGAACAAATAAACGTTCCCCCATATCTTTTGGTAACAGTTCATGATCTAAGACGAAGCACAGATATTGGAAAAAAAGAAGAGAAAAGAAAAGACTGTGAATCTTAGTCCCATCTCTCATATTCACCCAAGGATCAAATCAGCCCATTATGTAACTCTCTGTACCCATTTCTTCAACTCTAATATGAGGAGACAGGGCCAGCAGATCTTAAATGCTGATTCCTTTCAATTGTTTACTTATTCTGTTACCTGAGAATTAGCTCTGCAACCCTGAAGAACAATGAAAAAGGAAGTCTGTGGCAAAAAAGGTAGTGGTGGCACTTTCAGGCAAACAGTGAAGTGATGGAGAGGAAATTGACGGAAATGAGAATACGGAAAGAAACCTAATGGAAAGCGTTTGTGAGCATGGAGAGAGATCCCAGAGACCTGAAACTTCTGCCAGAACCTCTGTCAACCCCCAGTCATTAACAGATTTCAGTAATTAAGCTGAAATAAATTGCTTGTGCATAGTGAGAAAGTAAATGGGAAGGTCCTGCTAAGTTTAGGTAGGGAGCATCAAGCCAATGCTGTGAAGGGATACGGTGACAGACAGATCAAGTTACCTGACGGATTAACTCAGTGCTCTTGGGTTTATTAAAACAGATTTCTCGGGTTGGGGCGGGGGAGATGAGGGGATTATCCTTAGAGGGTCTCTAGACCAGGAGATGTTACTGGGGCATGAGCAGGCTCTGAAGAGCACTGTGGAAAACTCCTGCTCTCCAGTGTTTAGGATATGGATAATAACCAAGTGTTGCATGTAAAAATAAAAGGAAAAAAAAAAGAAGAAAAAAGAGAACAAAGCATTTTTTGATGAAAACCCAGGGACTTAGGGAATGCAGACGTACAGTCTGTATCAGTCATTAATTTATCATAGTATCTCCTTGACTTCATTCTGCCATTTCTATTTTAGAATATCTACAGTTCAGTGACTTTTTCAGATGTATTGAGAGCAATCTAAATTGGGCTCTTAGAGATACTTCTTTCTGTTCTTTAGGAAGCCTTTATGCAGTTATCACTTCCTTTTTCCTTCAGCAAAATGAATTGAACAAATCTCCCATATTTCTATGAGAAAGTGCTCTGTCTTTGGAAGGTATGACTCTGCAATGATCCTATAATAAGGAAATCAGGCACAATATTCATTGATCTCAAAGAGCATAAGAAAACATTTGTGTCACAGGAAAAAAATTTGTTTAACTATAATTGTATGTTTATATTTTAATTCATCCCCCATTTGTTTTTTGAGATATTATTCCTTGGAATCTGTAAAGGATGCCTGTTTAAAGCCCTTGGGGTTACAATTTAAACATCTCTAAGTTCAAAGGAATAGATATAGTACAGAGAGATGTAAATTGTATCTTTGTTATTGCTTTATGTATTCTTAGTTTATTATTTTATCATTTGTACTGGTCTTATAAAATTTTCATTTAATTGGGTATCTGTTTAGAGAATAACTGCCATCTACATATTAATAGTACTCTGCTGGAGGAAAAAAAAATCCATACCTAACTCTTAACTAAAAATGAGACAGCATATATTAATAATACCTCTTAAAATATTTTGAGGGAAACAAATCAGTTTGGTTATTATTGCCCATTTGTTTTCTGTGTGTCAAAACAAAGCTCAGGCCTATTTTATGTTCTATCAGAGGACTAAGGAAACAGCTTTCTAATTTCATCATCTCATAGGTGTGTTTCTAATTGCAGTGCGTAACTACCTAATTTAGAAAATGTTCTGATACTTATCTGTGATGGACCACAATCCATGACTTTTTTAAGGCTTTAATTACTAGCATACTGAATCAAAGTGCTTTTTTATGCCTTGCTTTTAAGAAAAAGTCATTTTAAGATTGAATCACTTTCACCAATTATAGTGTAGTAATGATGCAGACATCTTTATGTAGTTATTAGTGCCAGAGCAAACTGGATTCTGATCATTGATGTCTGCAGTATATTTTTATTCATAGAAAATGGAATTTGTTTTAAGCTGATGATCTAGCAGGTATACTCAATTGCTGTGACTATCAGAACCATGATGTTATGTAGATATATAGATAAGAAATCAGTAGGATTGATTTTTTTCTTTTGTTTGGGGTAAAACTTTTAGAAGGAAATGCTGTCTAATGTGTTACTTCCCTAATAAAGCAATTATATTTTTGTGATAAAGTATCAAACCGTATATATATATATGTGTGTGTGTGTGTGTGTGTGTGTGTGTGTGTATATATGTATAAATTTTATTCCCTAAACTGATGAAAGTAAAAATCACTCAAGTCTTATTATTATTGTTTTTTTGAGACAGAGTCTTGCTCTGTTGCCAGATGCCAGGCTGGAGTGTAGTGGCGCAATCTGGGCTCCCCGTAACCTCCGCCTCCTGGGTTCAAGCAATTCTCCTGCCTCAGCCTCCCAAGTAGCTGGGACCACAGGTGTGCGCCACCACACCCAGCTAATTTTTGTGTTTTTTAGTAGAGACGTGGTTTCACCATGGTCTCGATCTCTTGAGCTTGTGATCCGCCCGCCTCAGCCTCCCAAAGTGTTGGGATTACAGGCGTGAGCCACTGAGCCCGGCCCAAATCTTATTTTATTTAAAAATTGTAGCATCTTGTAAAATTCAACTTTTGATATGTGTTATTTGCAAAATGGTTCATTTTCTAAGATAAGGTGAATTTCTTGGCAATATCAGCCTTTACTTTCTACTTCAGTGCTCCCTGTATGTTGTAAAGACTGCAATATAGAGACAGATGCTAGTTGTAAAGATATTTATCACAAAATCAAACTTTGCTTGTATTTAGATTGAATATGAGACTCAAATTAAGAAGATGCTGCTCGAAAAAGATAGCCTAGGACTAAAATGTGAACTGAAAGATGAAGACAGAGAAAAGGTAATAAGCTAAAGTGATAAACTTTCTGTTAACAGAGAGTTTCTAGAGTGTTTATATTTTAAGATATTGTTTTAAATAAAATCATCTTATTGGTAAGATCCTTTTGATTAAACCTTAAGTGATTATTTAAAGATTTTTGCTTACAGAGTATTGCTTTAATGTCTAATTTAATTAAATTTGCTGAAAAGAAGGAGTTACTTTGGGGTAAAAGGATAGACTCTAAAGAAAACCTCAATGTTCTCAATCGGTAAAATCGTTTTTCTAAATCATGCTTTCTAGCTGCTCTTTTCTTAGTTTGTGAAGAGTTTTAAATGAAAAGTAAACAAAATATGGCATTTTGATTCTTTTGTGTGAATATATATAATTTTGTACATGTTAACCTTTGCACAGAAAAAGTGGAAAGAAAAGATTGCATATTTAAGCAATAGACAAAAAGATCAGCAAGGAATACTTAAATAAATTCTGTTATGTATCTGCTGTAATGCAGGCTTCTAATCCTCCTGCCTATCTCCATATAAATGATTCTGTTCAAGACCATAGATGTTTTCTTCGCTAAAAGCAGTAAAGCTCTTTTAGATGAAATGTCTAAAAACATCTTGTAATAACTTGGAGCATGCTGGCAAGAGTAGTCACTTGTGACTATATGTGAAACCCCCTCAGCCAGTCGATATTGTAATAAGCAAAAATGGTAGCATCACTCCATTATTCAGAAAAGCCAACAGCGTGCTTGTTCCTTAGGCTGCAGCATTCATTAAGAAAAGCTTACTGGGCTGAAAGCTGGAAACAGATGATAACGGGATATGATTTTCATATTTAATGCTTTCCTTGGAAGAGTATGTGTGCTACAGATTGATAGAAGAATCAACTGCTACTTTACTAAAAGACTTTCAGGTTTGCCCTATAGCTACCGATGGAATCATTCAGCCAAGAAATTAACTTTTTCTCCTTTTACCTGCTTTATATATCTGCTAAGCAGGCTGCCTGGCTGCCAGTAAATGTTATTATGCAGTTAACTGTTTGGTATTTAAGACTCTTATCAGAAAAGAAACAGAGGCCACACTATTTTGTTTTTATAGTAGGAGGAAGGTTTAGTTTTTCTTTCTTCCGTGCATTAGCAGGCATTAATCTGAGTTTATAGGAAGTTTTAGTTTTCCTTTCTCATAGATTAAAAAGTTAAAAAAAAAAAAACTAGAATTTAGAGCATTCTTTAAACTGTAAGATACAAAACACCAAGCCCCAGCAACCTTGACCTATATAAAAAGGCCTTTAATGATAAATGATGTATAATGCCATTCGATGTGGGCCAAATGTGGTATGATGTGATAGACTTCTAAACCATTCAGGCAGTTTTTCCGTTTGACATTCGGTCATGAAATAATTGATGTGTTTTTAATCTATAAGCCAGTTAGTTCTTTCTATGCCATTCTTGGTAGACATATTCTTAGTATGGCAGTGTCAATGGTACTTCAGTAAAATGGAAGCTTTTTTCCCTGTATTTACACTGCTGATTTTTTACATATGGCTATGGAGTCTCCTTTTAGGACATATTTAAAATTAGAGCAAGAGACATATAGTTGACAACCCTTTAAAATGTTACATATAATAATTAGAAGTCTTTTCATTTATATGGAAAGGTGTCATCTCCTTAAATGCTTTGAATATTGGCTACATAAGAATCAATTAGGTAAAATTTGGAGAAATTTATGTTCTGCCTTTTCTAATTTTCCATTGATGTTCAACCAATTAAAAGGAAAATACATTTCAGTGAAGTAATGTTTTAGTTAATCCTTATCATATATTAATTCCTGAACAATTCCTTATCATATGAGTTATGTCTTATTGCTTAGTAGAAATCCAAGCTCCTCTTCTCTGGGCAGTGATATGAATTGGTCTTGGTCACTGGTCTCCAGGGCCTTTCTTGAAGCGTAGTGCAAGTCACTGGTTGAATCAGTAAATAGTTACTAAGCATCTCTTCTGTTTGAGAAGCCACAGTAGGTATCTCTATGAATGCCACAATTTTCTTACTTTAAAGGTGCTTTTTACAAAGCAATTTTCTAAGGCAGAGAATGGTGTGTGATAAAGTGCCAGTCATATGGGACAAGCATGAGCAACGAGGAGAATGAAAGTCCTGCTTCCTGTGAATTGGGTAGCCGCAGCCCTGGTGGAGAAGGTGGTGTATGAGCTGGCGTTGAAGGACAGGCAGGGTGCCAGTCAGTGGTAGAAAAATGAGCTTGGAAAGTTACGTTGTGGGATTTGGTACCTGGAACTATGGTACCAGACTAAGAACTGGGATTTCTTTCTCTATTTAGTGAGAGAGAGAGAGAGAGTACGTGTGTGTGTGTGTGTGTGTGTTGGAGCAGATGAAGGAAGGACTTGTGAGCAGAGCAGTCACAAGGAAGATGAGGCAGGCAGTACTGTGCAGGATGAGCCTGGGGAGGAGTACATGGAGCTGAGGAAATCAGGCTCCGTTCAGGCAGGAGGAATTAACAGAATGGAGGGCCTGTATTGGGGATGGCCATTGAGGTGGAAAACACTAATAAAGGGGAGAGGATCTATCAAATTGGTAATAATTCTTAATTATAAAAAGATACATTTTTTAAGTGGATGTATAGCTTTCAACCATAGGCAGTAAGTTGGATGCCAAGAAAAGTCGTCAAGTGGTGGGTGTCCATTTTTTAAATATAAAACTCTGGCTCAGTTTTGGTGTAGGACATCCATTGTTGGCTTGCATCCAGTAGTTACTCTTGAGAATCACGCATTCACTTAGAAGGATTAATAGCTAGTCTATTCATCCGTCATGCTTGTTTCCATTATTAACTTATTTAGTCAACTTTAACAAAAAATAGATACCAAAAAGACACATTTCAAGCCCCACTTGAATCCTCAAAAATTTTACTATAATAATTCTTCACCTCTATTGTATATATTGTTATTTTTTATTTTGGGGCCAAATTCTGTTTTTTTCCAGGCGTGTTCTTCTGGTTGAAGAACAATGACTAGAGAATATACACAAAGAAAGATCAAGATAGTGTTTGTGAATGAGAGTGTACATTTGGGGATGGGGGTTGTGCAGTTTCTTTGAACTATTATGCTGTGAAATATATTGTACTAGAAGTAGAAGCGAATTGATTATACTCTGGCAGGGCTGGATAGGTGTGGAGGACCAGGGAATTTCATTATAGAGCTAAAGACTTGTTGGGGAGTGTCACTTCGACTGTGGTAACCCTCCCTGCAAGGATCAGGTGGAGAATGGTTATAAAGGTGTTACTTCCACTTTTAATACTAGTAGTAACAATGGGTAATAATCACTGCACTTTTACTTTGCTAGGTGCTGTATTAACACCTCATATATATCAAGTCATTTAATCTTCTCAAGAACCCTGGAAGCAGAGGATATTGTTGCTCCCATTTTATAGTAAGGCTCAGAAAAGTTAGTTAACTCCCCGAAAACTACACAGCCAGGCAGAGCCAAAATTCAAACCCAGGCCATCGGACTTCGGTGTCCATGCTATTAACCACCTTGCAACAATGCCCTCTAGGGTAGTAGGGGTAGCTCTTCAAATGTTGGAGAAATTCCTGGTGAAATAAAATCAACTTTAAGTTCTACATTTTTACCTAGCCTTAAGGGAGGAAATGATCTTCCTTGGTGCTGTAGCATTTGAAACTGAATCAGGTGAGCCATGGCAAGCAGAGGACCCACCCCCTAAACTGCCCACGTTTGCAATAAAAGAAGCATCCGTTTCTGTTGGCTTTGTTGGGCAGAAGAAATGCCTTACAGCTCAACTGAAGAAGAACTTGAAGGGAGAAAGCCTGCACAGCCACAGGAGATGGCTGTGTGCGTGGTGTGCAGGGATGAGCTGTGCAGTGGCTTTCGCCACAGAAATGAGCATGTCAGGAGAGGTGTCCAAGGTGCTCCCAGGACCAGTGCCACTGCAGGAGAGGCACAAGACAGAGAAGATGACACCCCAGTGTGAGATGGTGGAAAGGGTTCTTACATTCCAGATGAGATAGACTGCTGTTCCCAGGATCTGAGCACCATTCATAAGACCAAGGCCCCCACTGTAGGGCCTGGCTCATCTCCAAGGAGTAAAGGAACCAGATACCTTGTGTGGGGGAAACCTGATTGAAATAAATATCGCAGCAAGGGGAAAGGAATCCTAAAACTAAACTGAAGTGTCCCTATTGAAAGAGCAAGTGAGTTAGGTTGGAATCCCCCAGGAAGGATCCTAACACAAGTATTTGAGTGTAAGCAGTTTATTTGGGAGGCAGTCCCAGGAAGCACAGATAGAAGAGGGAGGAAGTGGCATGGGGAAAGGAAAGCAGGCTGTAGGAGTGTGTGATTGAGTGGGTTACCACTCAGAGCACCTGGTGCTTAGTCCCATTGGGAAACTTGGATGACTGTGTAGGGCATGTGTCAGGGATATCCCATTTGAGGAGTAGGAAAGGGAGGTGTTTCCCCTCCAGGTCTGCCACTGCCCAAGTGCCATGCCTGGCTCCTCTTCTGGTGCTATGCAGCAGCGAAGAGAAGTGCTTGGGCCAAGAGGCACAGGTGCTTACAGGAGGATGCCAGGCAGGTACTGGAACAGTGAAGGCCCAGGGATATAGGCCCGCCCTCTCACCTGCTATGGGAAGGAACAGTGGGTGGAGGAGGTAGTCCTTACTAGCCCACAGTGCTGCCTTCACCAGCAGTCTCCTTGCTCACTGTAAACAATACAAAAATCTCCCTAGAGGGGGGCTCTGAGTAGTTGCCTTCACAGGGAATGTAGCCCTCAGCTCTGCCATCCTCAAAACTGGGGCTGTACTTGACTTACACAGAACCATGACAAGTCAAAAACTAGTCTTTCTTTGTTCAGCTGGCCCTTTTTATATTAATTGATCTCTTATTTATATGTGTTTATATTCAGAAAACAATTAAAAATTAACCCGAATTATACAAATTGTATTTCAAGCCCTGTCCCTAACATCTGCAGACCTTTTTTTCAGGAGTGGGTAGAGCATAC